GGTATTAAAAATCACCCAATAACCCAGCAATGTTAATGATAATATCTTCTCTGTTATTTTCAGGCATTGAAAGGGAACAGAGGGGCACTGAGGGCATCCTATCAAGTCAGCCTCCACAAAAAAAAAGTTAATCAGTTGCCAAGTGTTGGATGTTTCTAAAACAGCTCTGTTCATTTAAAAGTGTTTAAAAAATGTGTGTACATAGTTTTTGATCTAGTGACAAACTTAATGTTGCACTTCTGATAATTTAAATGTGGTTTCACCTGTGATGTACTGTATACACTTGACTGCACTTCAGTTGGTGTTTTGTCCCTTTCTGTTTACAACATGTTTGTTCTTTGTTCATTTAAAATACCGTAGTTTAAAATGGTGTGTACATAGTTTTTGAGCTAGCGACAAACTTAATATTGCACTTTTGATAATTTTATAATTGAAATTTGATTTATACTGTATATACTTGATTGCACGTCCCATGTTTCGTCTTTCTGCTTTGATCCTTATTTTTTCTGGGCAAGCTCAAAGGGAAGGTTGTTATGGTGAGAAACCTAATTGCTGCGATGCACTTTTATAATTAAATAAATATTTTCATTTACATTTTAAATTCATGGTGTGTTGCATTCTTTGTTTATAACTGTAGATATTATGGAAAATCATGAAATTTTTTGAGCTTGGGTCCCTTAGGACCACAACATTTCTGTTTTGGGTCTCATGCTGAAAAAGTTTGGGAACCCCTGGTCTATAGAGTTACTGTAAAGATTCGATTACTACTTTCATGGGGTAGGAAAAAACGATTGGTTCAGTGATCTCAATCAACACCTTGCAGGAAGTTATTGCGTGAGTTCAGCTTTTTAATAGTTTACATATTACATCTTTTAATGCTTTTAATGCTAGTACTTACGCTCTGGAAAATCCCATGTTATCAACATTTTCTTTTTTTACAGTAAAGTGAGATCACTACTGCTGAATTCTTTCTTCTCAAAGCCTTTTATTGGTTTGTTTTTTTTCAAATTCCAATGCATGTGCAAGAATATTTGCATGCACCACAACACCTGTCCCTATTAATTGTAATTGTTTAGGGGGGCATTACCTATGGCAATAATAAACAACTAGCCACACACAACTTCAATGTATGATCATGTGAGAGTCATCATTCAGCACACCTGGGTAAGAAGAGATTTGGATGAAGAATGTTTGGTGCAGCTGTATTTGACTTTATATAAGTACAAATAAGAGAATGTTGCTGCATGGAGCCCACTGGGATGGATTTACAACCAAAGATGTTTCTCTAATTACTGCAAATGTCTGACTGGAGGAATATAGATTTGCATTATATTTGCATTAACCAGATGAAATACAGTATACACCAGCTTTGGTTATGATGTTATAGTAACTACAATCTAGAGTGGTATGCTTGGTGAATGAGGTGCATCACATGGTTCAGTAGATTACCAGCTTCTGCATGGGTCTTCTTCTCCTCCAGAGTGGAGCTGACATCATGGACATCACAGTACGCTCGGATCAGCCGCCAGAGAAATAATGAGTTCTGTCCAAACTGCAGAAGAACATCAAAGTGTTATACACACTGTTGTGGTGCAGGAATGAGTCCTAAAGCCCAGATATGAGTTAGCATTTAACAACTTCCTGGCTCCTGGTCTTGAAGTGAATAGTTGTTCAATGTGATTTATGTTAGGACTCAAAATAAAAAACTGTTATTTGGTAAACAGAAGTTTACGGTTTTGTTTTCTTTAAAAAAAAAAAATCAAGAATCATTAAGAAATGTGACTATCAGTACATATATAGTGGAGTACGAATGGGTCCTAAAACGCGGATATTCATCATCAATACTTAAAGTCTTCCAGATCCCTTGCCTCAAAGTCAAAATGATCTTGAATGAATGAGTTCTGGGATTCATAAGAGCTAGGAAATGGTCCAATGTTGTTGTACGACATAGGAAACTCCGGTAAATACCCGACTTGTGAGTTTCCAAAGCTTGTATGTATATGAAATACAGTGGTTGCTACAAGTGTCTAAATGAGACTAGTAAACGTCATCATGTTAACTGACTTTCTCTTAGCAATGGAGGTGATCAGTCAGGCGTACATGATGTAGTTTGTTTATAGCAGGTAGCTTTAATTCTGGCGACTACATTTAAACTTCAAAATCATAAAGTGACATTAATATGTGGAGACTATTCTGCTAAACAAAATTATTATAAAACCTTTGTTTGTCACAGATCCTATTTTAAAAACCAATATCCAATTGAAAAAGCAAAAGGAACCCTTGCAATGCAAACTTCAGGTTTGATCTACAAAAAAAAACGTCCTCACTGCACCACTCTATTTAGCTACAAATACATCTATATATGAAATGTATGCAGGACTCAGCATCAACTTTAACAAACCTCATCTCTGTTCTCCAGAAGGAGTTGTAGACTTTCTCTTTTTTCAGAGTCTGTACCCTGGTGCAAAAGCTCGATCCTCTCCAGAAGAACACAGAGCGTGTCTACGGGTTTTTCTTCATCGCTCTGTTCTGCATCACTGGGCTCTTCTTCATCATCAGAGTCTGTCAGTGCGGTCATATACCTGAAAGCATAAAACAAACACAGATGACCACGTTTCAGGAAATGGAAAGGTGTACCTTCAGTTTGCAGTAAGCATTTGCAGTTAAATTAACTCAATAACACGTAACACTGAGCCAGGCTGTCTCCATCCTGCTATCAGCAACATGAGAGCATCTTCAGGTAGCATGAATAAAAAAGCGTCAATGATGCCAGCACCCTTTAGTCAGAAGATAATGGCCTGAGTTCCATCTTCAACTTGTGAGGTGGAATAAAAACCCCTCAGCTAAGGAGTTTTTTCCAGATCAATCAAAACCCTGTCTCAACAAGCGTTTTTACAAGCCGATTTCTGACAGGTGCTGATTTTAATCAATCTTCACAGGCTGTTTGTGCCTGACAAATAGCAACATTGTCTGTTTACATAAGTGGGTCCCTTAATTGTTTATAATACTAACTGTTAAGAAACTATTGACGTCTTAAGGTTGATAACCAAAGGCTTTTCAGGGAACACAGGGAGGCTTGTTTGTCGGAGTGAGGCACGCAACACAGGCATTAGATGTTTAATGGTGCCCTTTCAAACACTGTAAGCATGTACAAACACCCTGAGCTAACACTTAAAAAGCAGCAGTAAACTGCTATATTAATGGAACAGGTAAAAATGAAAGACATAAACAAGGGTGAAAATATGAAAAGCCTCTATTAAGTGTTGGCAGCAGCTGCATGTGCGTCATTGGTGGTTAAAGAGAATATGTTGGGCTGTGAGCCATGGTACTGGAGGGATGTGTCGGAGCGGGCCACAGACAGAAACACAGCGGACCCAACAGGTGCCTCGTGCCAGAGGCTGCTCCCCGACTCCACCCCACAACACACACTTTCAACCCTGAGTGCCATGATTACAGGAGTATCAGCAGGGCATTTAAGCTGTAAAAATGTTCTTCAGTCAACACAGGGACTTTCAAGCATATCACACCAAATTCAACATAGGAAATTCATCCGAAATGGTGCGCAGAGATGAAGGAATTCTGCACTACTCGTTGACACAGGTCAACGAGTAGGTTAACATGTTGCGTTCAAGTCACAACGTATGCTCATCCTAAAGTGAACCGGGATTTATCTTCAATATACCTTAAATAGGACCATCATTAAGTATTTTAACATCATGCAGCAATGGAGTGGACTCAAAATGTAGGATTGGGACCATAAACTGAGAAGGGAAATGTTTACTCAGGTAAAATAATCTAGTTATAAGTGGGCAAATTTGCTCATAGACTTTTATACAATCGAAAATCTTTTTGCAACCAGTGAAGAAAATGCTACCCTTATGAGTGACTAGTTTAAATAAGATGTATTTATTCAGTATTGTTTTATTAACAATGACTTTGCACCGTCCCTCAAATCAGACAGTTAACTCAACAGATATTTGAATACCAATTTGATTTGATGCAATGATAACATTTGCATTGCTATTATTGTTAATCAGTTAAAAATACATTTAAATAACAACAATACTGTATAGTAATAGATTCACTGCACAATGTTCAATTTAAAACATTTTCTTTAGATCATTTTAAAAGTAAAAAAAGTAAAAGTAAGTAATTCTTTTAGTATGGGGTGATTTTTCCAGTACATTTATTTGACAAAAGTATGTTAATCTTTCAGAAAATCTAGTTAATGTTGAAAAGTGAAGACATTTTTTTTATCGAAAATAATCTTTCAAAAATATTGACAAATATTGTGGAAGGCCATATTGCGATTAGGATGACATTTTTCAGCGCTAGTTTAGGCATTAAGACATAAAGTGAGAACTGTTTGACCAATGATTGCACTTCATACACAGCCAGTAGCTCAGTAGGGAATGGAGAATGGAGAATGGAGAACATACTGATACCGGTTAGTAAAAACCATGAATTAATGCTTTGACAAGTCTGCAGACAGACGGCAGGCGAAAAACCTTTTAAAATGTGTGTTTTCTGAATGGAGATTGGCTAAGCTAACGTGTATGCTCCGACCGTCCACACTCACAACAACGGCCTACAGACATAAATAAACCAGTGACTGTATTCGCCATGACAGACAGTCTGTGGTTTGTTCTTGTTTAACTTTTGTCTAGTTTCTGAACAGATATGAGGAGCTGTGAGCTCTGAGGGCTAACAGCTAACGGCTGATGTTGTTTTTGTGTTTCGCATTGAAGATGATGTCACGGCTCCGCCTACACTGCATTACTATAGTTACTACCGCAGCTCCTAAACTGTAATGGAAACGCAGCATAAAGTGAGCCTGGCCTAATTTAGCCTAGCCATACCGTACTAAGCCGAGCGAGGCCCTGCAGTGGAAAAGCGCCATTAGAAGAGTCTCTTTCTTTCGGCTCCTAAACGGCTCTTCATTTGACCACAGTTCACAACGGAGCCTCAGTTTCGCCGCTGCGAGGCTCCGGCGCTCGCAGTTCACGCACGTGCTCCACTAGCACCCCCCGTCAAGG